GTATATGTATGTGTATATGTGTGTATATATGTGTGTATATGTGTGTATATGTATGTGTATATATGTGTGTATATGTATATATGTATGTATGTATGTATATGTATATGTATGTATATGTGTATATATATTTCCCTAAGAAATCTTCCCTCGTGTCAAAGATTGTTCATATTAAGCAACTCAAGTGACAGAATAAACTACTCTTCAGTCACGTGAAGTTTGTAGAAATTAGCATTAAATTGATACTATTAAATAGATATTAAATTGATACAAAAAGTGACAGTAAAGACATTTATGATAAAAGATTTCTGGTTAAAATTTTCGCTGAATGTATCACAGTTTCCACTAAAATATTAAGCTGCACAACTGTTTTCAGCATTGATAAGAAGAAATGTTTCTCGAACACTGTATCAGCATATTAGAATGATTTCTGAAGGATCATGTGACACTGAAAACTGGAGCAATGGCTACTGAAAAATCAGCATTGCCATCACATATTGTATTTTTAATCAAACAAATGCAGCCTTGGTGAGCATAAGACTTTTTTTTTCTCTCTTCAAAAATTCTTAACCCAAAATTTTTGAACGGCAATGTAAATGCAGGCCATTGACCTTGTTTTTCACATGCAGTCCTGTGATCAGATTTATAACTCAGTAAAACACTTTATGTGCTTTGAAGGTGTAAACAGGTTAAATACAAACTCAAAACCCATATTCTGAATGTTGTTGTTGTTCATTCACATAAAGCTCAAAGTTCATCCCCTTTTTCCCCCCTCACCTTTTCCTTTTTTGGAACCCGTTTCAGAGATACAGAGGGACAGAGACGTTTTATCTGCATCTGGGTCTTCTCCGGCCTGGCTCTCCCAGTCCTCCATGTGGTCTGTGCCATTCACACCTGCCAGAGACTCTGTGGGTTCGAGAATGCCGGGTTCTGCCACTGTTTCTGATGGTAACACTTCACTGCTGGTGCCTTCAGATGCTCCGGACATTGAAGCGTTCATCGCAGCTGCATATCCTGCCATCAGAGCCATCTCCTCATCCTGTGTCAGAGGGGCCTAGAGAGGAGGTTAACAGTAAAGCCTTAATTAGAAACTGAAGTTAAAGAACTTGTTTTATGATGTAACATTGTGACTACGACAAGGTACCACTAACTACCTACAAATACAAGATAAATTAATTATATTTGATACAGATCATTTTGTACTAAAGTGTATTTTGTATAAATAAATAAAAAATGCCAAACTACAATTTATTTTTTAAGTCTCAGGACATGCTTGCTGAGTTTTATTGTGTGAATTTTTTTGTGTAAAGATTTTGAAGGTTTCAAATTTTGAAAGAAAAAATTCTGTATGATACCAATAAGCTGATAATTTTGTAATAAATTTTGCACTATTTTGTATAAATCAAAATCAGTTGTTTTAAATTCTAAAAGTGACAATGGGCAAAAAAGAAAAGAAAAAGAAGTTGTCCCAAAAATGTCAAACTACATTGACATTGTGTGGATTCTTGGAATGATAATCCTATCCAAGGTTTTAAAGTTATCCAATTTTTTAAAGAAAAAAAACAAAACAATTCTGTCTGACACAGACAAGCTGATTCAAATGTTGTACTATTTTGTATAAATAAATTAAAATCAGTTGTTTTAAATGCTATAGTGAATTTGGGCAATGTTAAGTTATTATGTACAGTATAAAAATGGATATTTGCATTATTACATTAACATGTGTAATTAAATTATTAGTATTCTTTAAAACAAGTAAAGGTAATGAAAATGTAAAAATAAGTGAAATAAGCACACACAATTAAATATACAATAACTATCAGTACAAATAAATAAAATAACTTATATGGTACCAATATATTGTAAATGCCTAATAAATATGCATATATGTGGGTCACTGAGTTGTTTTTTTCTGTACCTTGGTCACTCCTGAGATGATGATGGTGCTCTTTTTGACAGGAGATTTGAGCTTCTGTTTTGCCGACTCATGCAGCTGTCTGATGGCAGCCTCGGCTACAGGGTCGGTCCCGTTTAAGATCAATAACTCTGTACAGGAAAGAAAGAAAAAGAGTGTTCAAACGCTGAACATAATCTATTACTAATGTGGCATTTTGACTTTATTCTTACTCCAGGACTGCTGATGAGCACTTGCGGTGTAGAAAGTGGAAATAAAGGAAATGCATTTAGCCATTTATGTCAACAAGATTTACTGGAAACCCCACCTGTATCTGATGATGACAGGGCTTTGCTAACTTTGGCTCCAAGTAATGATGTCTGCTCCGACACCCTTCTCTCCGCCAGCTTGTTTTTAGAAGGCGATTTGGATTCTGTAAGGGGGATTTTTAAAACATGAAAATTGTTTAATAGATTTTGATTTTGTGGTTTAGGAGATTGACATAACAACTGTAGCATCTTCAAATTAAAGTTTGCTTTAATACCCATATAACACTAAGATTGCCCTCCTCAAAATCAACAACTGAATCAAAGGCCAATGGAAGGTACCAGGTGCTAAAGGTCGTCCTGGTTTGCTCCTCACAGCAGTGACAGTGGTAACAACAGTGCCACAGGGCATCACAGTGCGGTCCATCTCCACTCTCTTAGTAGGGGCCGGCATGGGCGTCTGCCAGCTACGCACCTCGCTGGGCTCCAGGTAGGTGAACTACACAGAAATTCATTCAGGTTGGTAAACAAATATTCTAATAGCATATTTAATTTGCCAATGGAAACTGAACTATATTATAGTTTAGGCTTATATACAGTGTTGGGAAGGTTACTTTGGAAATGTAATAGGTTACAGATTACATCTATAGCAATTCCGTTTTTACGACTGGATTCTACGAACCAGTGTGTGTTTTCCGCATCACGGAAATTATAGGGTCGTATGTCTCAGAGTAGTCAGTGCAATTTGGGATGTAACTAGTTACTCCCCAACACTGCTTATATATAGGTCTTTTTGTACATTAAGCTAGGATAGGGCATTATAAGAAAAAAATTACACTCTTTAGCATTAATTTAAGTCATTGTACATGTGAACTAGCTTATGAATATTATGAAATGTAAATGCAATTAAAGTACAAAAAGTGACAAATATCTGAGAATTAATTCTAAAATGTGATTAACATCTAGTTACACTGTATCATGATGAGATATTTTACCTCAGTAGTTAGTGATCCAGTCACTTGATCTTTGGCCATGAGTGAAAAGGTCTGTTGACCTTTGGGGTGTTTCTTCACTAGATCAAAAGGCACAGATACCTGCCCTAACAAAGAGGCTGGGAGGAAAAGAGAGAGTGATGTCTGATCAGATCAAAGTAATGCATATAATTTGATCAATGTGTTTGTCAAGGAAGGAAAAAGTGGCACCAAGCACACAGACAAACACATTTCACACAAGCTGTTAAGAAATCAGGGTGAAAGGCTCGTGAAATGAGGTAATATAGGCTGTCACATGTCTGTTACAAGAATTCAAATCAAGATATTACCACAGTATCCTTCTATTCGCTCAAATAATCTACCACTTATACAGCATTTTTGAGGCTATTTCATGATTTAGAGAAACAGATGACTGAAAGTAGATTAAAATTCACAGATGACCTTCAAGCTTCTGCAGACCCAGATTAATGGATATCACTATTGTTTTTATGCCGTTAAGCTGGTTTATTTTCGGTCATGTGGACTTACTCTCCCGAGGTTTGCCGTTATCCACAACCTGAATATTCAGCTCTTTTGACCGTCCGCTAAGCTCACTGCAAAAACAGACAAAGGCAAAAGATAAAATAAATCATGTGGTACTCCCATGTAAAAAGATTGGAGGATGACCCAAAACTGCCAAACATTTTATAGTCTAAATCTTAGGAAATGCTGGCTGATTTTATATTTTGTGATTTCTTGAGTTGACAATCTTGACCATGGTTTTGAATTAAACCTCATAAAATGATTAAAAAAAAACAAAGTGTTAACATACAAAAAAAAAAAAAATCTATGCTATTAGCATTACTAAACAGAAGAGCACAAATAACTGTGATTGTTTTCAAACAGGTTTCCCAGCTAAACAGGTAGTGCTGTCCCAACATGTGCCTGATTCACGTTTTCCCCGTCACGTCGCCCCCTTCTCTCCCAGTAGTTTCCTGTCCTACCTCTACTGTACGTTTCTATAAAAGTGTCAAAAAGGTTAAAAATAAAAACATTCATTAAATGGGTATAAATTAAGTTTCCAGGGGCAGCTGAGGAGGGAGCAGATGGAGGTGGACCTGAACTCACAATATGAAGGGCTGGTCCCAGGCTGGGGTGGATGTGTTAGTCAAGACTGAACTGGTGACCTTCTGAGGAGGATCATCCAATTGGAGGATACACTGGGGATTCATGCCGCCTGAAACCAGAATAGAAACAGCTCTTTACCAAGCACAAGCAATACCCTTCCAAAAGAAGACCAATTTGCTAATGTACATTCAAATACCACCAGACATTTGAGCCAAAAAACAAAGAGAAGAGATCTGTTTTCAAGCTAAATAATGGACTAATGCAGAAAATGCTCTTTGCCAAAATGAATTATGCATAAAATGGATGAGATGCCATTTGTCTCTGTTAAGTGCTTGCTGGGCTGTAATAGTGACTTGGCTGGAGAGCAGCAGGACTATTAGACCACTTCCGGAAATGATTTCCGAACAGAAGGGACATCCTGATTGAGGGAAACACGGGCAGTTAACTGAATAAGTTGCAGGGGCGGTGCTTTTTCGGAAGTGTAGCCTGCACTTTGTGCCCACAACAAAATATCATCCAAATAATTGGCTTGATTTCTTCGATCCAAGCAATATAAAAACATTAGCTGAGGTCTGTGGTGTGTACAAACTCCATCTAATGAACAACAAGACACATGGGATCTCAGGGATTAGAATCTGTGTCATGTGGCCATATATTAAGAAACGGGCCACCACAAACAACTGCCAGTGATTGGAAGACGCACGTAAGAAAAAGTGATATCAAAATGCTAAAAACTTTTATTTTCATATGCTGAAATGCAGGTTCATCCATCTTTTTTATCAATACTTGTTGCTTGCATACTGTATAAATATGTCTAAATGATTTAGCTAAATATTAAAGAGAACTTGAAGGACATGCATTCTGCCGAAATATGAGTGTGTTTCAGTGACCTGCAGCACCATCCTCCTGTTTGCATGTGACCCGGATGTTCTTCACTAATAGTTTCCACTCATGAGCCCGCGGGGGCTTTGGGGGTGAGGTCACCTGCAAGGTCTTGTTCCTTACTTCCTGTTAAAGAGGACAGAGGAAATAAAACATTATCACTCATAACATCAACCGCAACATCCTTTTCTGTGTTTTTCTCTCCATTCTGAGCAAATTCCAAAGTTATGTAATGCTCTGAATATTATGAAATTTATCAGATCATATAATCAAGGCCTTAGGACAAACAAAATAGGGTTATAAAATATTTATTAGCCTATGTGGTTGAAATTAAGTTGATTTAAGTGTTTTAGAGAGGATTAAGTGCTATTGTTAATACGATAAGTGTTACACATTTGTGCAGGGTAGTACCTTGACTTCTGCAGACTCTGCAGGCCGGCTGCTCAAAGTTACGGACGCTTGAGCTCGACTCAAGACCTGTCTGAGCCTGTCATTCACAGCAGCTTCACTTAGACTTTCACAATCTCCCTGAAACATACACAGAGCGTCACATGCTTTCTGAAAAAATAAGCAGAAGTCACCCTTTAAAAACCTACTGAGATTTACAAATGATGGAGAGTGCAATGAAAACCGCATTTAATTATGCTATTTTCTATCTAGAGTGTTTTGATGTGTGAACATACCTGTGTAAAACTTGGCGTCAGCTGCAAATCTACAGAGTTCAGGTGAAGCACCCCCCAGGAAATCTCCACCTCCTCGTTCACCTCTTTCATCTGTAGGGCCAGCTGTGGCAACAATACACACACAAACATTACAACCATAGAAATTAAACAAGGGCTGATCAGAGCAGTAAGCCACGGGACACTGTGTGCTACCTTGTAAAGCCTAAAACCTCTTTTAACATGGTTTAATATAAGTCTCAATTGTCTTATTGCTTTTAAAGGCCATGGAATAGAAAACAGAAAATTAAAATGTTAACCATCACGTAAAACAATTATAGCATCCATTTTTTCGAATACAATTAACATTAATAATTTACGGATTTTTACTGCATTTATTTGTGCATTAAATTACATATATAAAGGAACCAGTTTATATTAAAATAATGTATTTACATTACTTTTCAAACGATTGAGACAGGGAAAAAAAATATAGCAAAGACGGTCATATTGTAAAATACCATTCAAATTTAAAATAAATGTTTTCAATTTTATATTTTAAAATATATTTTATTCCTTTGATGGCAAAACTGAATTTTCAGCAGCCATCACTCCAGCCCTCAGTGTCACATGATCCTTCAGAAATCATTCTAATATGGTCAAGAGAGACATTTCTTCTTATTATTAATGTTGATAGCAGTTGTGCTGCTTAATATTTTTTGTAGAAACCATTATACACTTTTTCAGGATTATTTAATTTAAAACTCAAAAAAAGGAAAAAAAAATTCTTTCATAATGTAAGCAAAACTAAGACAATTTCTAGACCAAATTTTTTCCACAATTTTCAATACTATAGTGAGAACGAGCTGGGCATAGCAAATGAAGTATAGTAAAAGACACTAATGTTTAATTCAAGTCATTAATAATAATGTGTCAATAAACAACAAAGTAAGGCTTTTTACCATTGTCAACTTGCCGCATACAGAATTCAGCTACTGTGTGGTCACAGGTGTGTGTATCATCAATTTTAGAAAAATGGTGCTTTAAAAGCCAACTGAAATAAACGACTGAGAGTTCTATGTTGACCTAATATCAGCAATAAATTAAACAACAAATGCTGCTGCTTTAAATCAGCAAGGCAGAAACACACAGTGGCCTACAACAGAATAACATAACACTGCCTACTTCAAATGCACAATAAACAAAGGAGTCCAGAGCATTCACATATTCACAACAGCTCATTGAGCCACAGGGCCCACCATACACGGAGGAATGGGCCGTCATGTCCAAGCACGACTGCTTTACATTCCTGAAGACTGAACTTGGGGGAAAGGTAGAGAAAAAAAATGACAGGATGCCAAATTCCAGTCCAATGCTCAATGCCCATGTTCATTTCTAAATCACATGAAATTATAAAGTCTGAAGAGGATGGATGAACTAGAAAATGCTAATCAGTAACTAATAATATACAGTACGATTTATATAGACACAGGAAAAGCTTCAATCGATCTGTTTCAATCTGAACCTGAAAAGATATTTGCTTACAGAACTTGTAACCCCTGCCATGAGGTGGACCCCATGCAGTCACAATAAAAGTGTTATTCCACAACCTCGTATGTGGCTGTGGGCACGAGAGTGCACTGACCTCTAGAACAAAACAAAAGCCCCAAATATACTGTTGTTCAGCCTACGAAGCCATTCTAACAACCACTGAGAGCTTTCCAGTAATCACCCTTGACCAGCAGGAGAAACAGCTAGAAAATATGCAGTAACCACCTGGATTCCTCCAGAAAGAGGCTTAAATGACAAACAGAAAATAAACGCAATTGCTCCTGAAAAGGTCAGTATTCCGTATGTACACTTGTCACATGCCCAGTATTCTATTTACAATCTAGCACTTGATCGGATTTGTTTGAACAAAAACAGCCCACGACAGAATACCATAGAACCGGGGTGGATTCTGAAGGCATATGAGGAAACGAAAGATTTAACGACAGGTTAAATGCATTTAGCCACTCAATTCACTTATGGCTAAAACGGGATCAGCACGACAATGAAGAGTCGAGCAATTAATTGGTTTAAAAATAGCTGTAATGCAATTGAGCAAAGCCTGTGTGAGCTTTTAAACACAATGCATTGTCAACAACTGCAGCTCTGCACACTGAAATGGTGCTCTTAAGTAATTTCTACTGCCATTTGAAGCGCAATATTAAATAAACTCCCTGTCCAAGAGGTACAAGCTTTTCCATGAATAATTCTAGGCAGGATGTACCAGTGAAATTGCATGTTTCTGAGTCAGAGACATATTAACGGTGATTAAAATAAAGGCAGGACATCGAGCCAGTGATCGCGACCGAGGCACTTAATCTGATTCCTGCGGTGAATAAAACTGCAGAGTGAGTCACACCCTATAAATCAAAAGCAATCGGGACACTGCATGAAGCGTTACATCTCTCATAGGGCAAATGTGTTTATTCCTGATCCTTACAGGTTTTATGTGACTGTACACATTTCAGCAGTGTTATTGTTAACTAAAACGATTAAAAATATTTTTCAGCAATTGAAATAAAGCTGAAACAAAATAAAATATAATATTAGAAGACAAACAAAATTAAATTAGAAATGTTACCTTGGCAGCTAACTGAAATAAATAGGGTTACATACTAAAATTACTGAAACTGAAAAGAAAAAAAAAAGTAATTAAATGACTAATAAACTAATGACTAATAAAAATGACAATTACAAAAACTCAAACTAAAATTTAACTGGAGATATACAAAAATATTCAAAATATGAATAAATACTTTAATAGTATAGAAATAATTTTAAAATAACTAATACCAAGGGGGTCCAAAATGATGAGACTAATAATAATATTTACTGTGTATTACTTTAATTCTACATATTTTTTACATCCAAGAATAATTTGAAAATGGAACAAAATCTGACCTTTTGACTTCACATGGTCATTAATGTACTTATATTTGATTAGAGACTTAGCATTAGTGCAGAATCTGAAATATTTCTTATAATTTTACATCACAGGTTTCAAAATCATAAAACTGTTTATTCAGAAAATTTTAAAACCCTGCTTTAGATCGATTTCATTTCCTCAAGACCGAATGCACAGTCCAAATGAGCATTGTGCTGATTTATCCCAACGTGACTAAAATTACTATATACTTTGATGGCAAAACATGTGACAGCCTTTCCTAGAATCAAAGGAGATGCTTGTCTACTCCAAGAGAATGTAAAAAAAAAAAAAAAAAACTGGATTATCTGCCTCACCATTGCCAATATTACCGGAGGCATTTAAAGAATGACTGTCGTTTGACAATTTGTCATGCCGAAGCACTTGCGTTTACCCAACCATCCTCAAGTGACACTAAGAGCAGAATAAACACTCATGTTTACCTGCAGACGAAGAGGAGATATCTTCGCACTGTATCTCAGGGGGGTTTCTGAAGACGCTGAGCTTGGTAAAGCACTGAGAGAAAACTGCAGCTTGTTTCCAACCACCTGACACAGGGCATTCTGCAAAAAGAATACAACTATGAGTAAGACTAGTTGGTCACTTTAAATATCCTCAAGCTTCAACAGTCATAACATTGCTAATAATTTTTCTGAATCGTCAAACAGGGTGCATGTCAAAATGAGAAATCTCATGTCACACTCATAACCCTATTTTGATTCAAAACATTTAAACCTATATACAATTCACGTAGGCAAGCAGGGAGACATAATAAAGAGGTTTGGCAACAAATCAATTCCTCATATAGGTTAGGGTGTATAAACGTTCAAAGCTTGACCTTACCTTTTGACCGGGTGTTTTCATAAAGCTTGAAATCTGGTCCAAAGCCAGTTCTGATGAATGAACACCATCTTCTTCAAATGTCAGCTGAATCCCGCTCTAATAAGAGGAACACATTACCAAAGGAACACAATAAAGATCACAACATTCAGCTTTTTAGGAGCTCATATATGCTATTTTAGAGATGAATAATATATAGAGATATAACTGAATGAAAAACAACAACAAACCCACCTGTGATCTCCTAGCTTCTTCATTGAGGCTCCTGAACCAGGCTCGTCTCCACTGACTCTTCCAGCTTTTCAGAGACAGTACCCAGCATAAAATCCCATCGGCCTCCTCCGAATCCACATGACTGAGAGGTGTTTTCCCAACAGGAGGTTTGTTGGAAAAATACAGCACCAAGTATATAATCAAAGTGACAACAGAGGCCAGAAAGAGAGTGACCATGCAGAGCCACTGCCAGTCACCCACCCAGGAGAAAACACCCTCCATAGACGACATGATCACCAAGCCATTCACTTTAAACCCTCAACATGTTTACCATCAGACCTACTCCTCTACCTTCCGCATCCCAACACAATAAAGACAGTTTCCTTCCTAGTATTGACTAATAACACTCCTTCACAAACAGCAAAAATTAAAGTTCACGAAGGGTGGATGGAAACACGCGAACGCTGGACTGAGGCTCGTGAATCTCACTTCAACCAGCACGACAGCGACAGACAGATGTGTTTTAACACAAAATACAATTATTAAATCAGATGTTAAAATTATTAGAGCATCTGAACAACTACTTACAGACGGAGTAACATTTTTAACATACGCCAGTGCACAGTAAACCGCCCGTGAATGAATCTGCGAGATTTTAACCGGATAAATGGTCTCTTATCGGACACAGACAGCTTCAATATTTTTAAAATATTGGCGATTTAAAAAACATAACGTTACATACTTAATATTATAAATTAATGATATATGTTAGACAATTACTGGCTATTTAAAGACAACTCTAAATGATAAAATAATTAGAACCGGTGCATCCGAGGTGAAAAAAGTTCCTGAAATCCCCCGGCGTTGATGAGCCACGTTACCATCACATTAGCCGAGCATTATCCCACAGAAAAGAAAAAAAGAGTTTAAAAAGTGACATTAAGTGCAGTTCTCATCTCCTCTAACGTGTTTGTTCATCCTCCTGGGCGTGTATGATGAAGAGAGGCAGAAAGAGAGTGGATGTGTGTGTCACACACACCGCTGATTTCTAGGATTATTAGCTTTGCATTGAGGTTCAGGAGTCCTAAAACACCGTCACCTGACAATACAAAATAAAAGTCCCTACTGCAGTTTCTAAAATAACACAAATGGACGAATGTATATCAAATAAATTAATACAATTAAATAGTAAATAGAAATATGTAGAAATAAATCAATCGAACTTTTATTTGCTCTATATTATTATTACGGGGAATTTATGCTTGCAGAAAATAGACAAAGGTCTTGTGATCTCTTTTCACGAACGATAATTTGAACAATGGACGTTTCTTTGTTTATACGGCAATTTTTGCAGCGTTTGAATATGGAAATATGCGACTTGTGTGTGCGTGTGCGGATTACTGGCTAAACAATGGGATTGTTTACAAAGTTTTTCTCAAATTAGTATATTTACAGCAGTTCACCCTAATTCACCATTTTTTAGAATGCAAATAAAAAAGAATTCACTATTTATTCTTTTATTAATTGCAAACATTAAATAAAGTGTAAATGTTCTGTTTTGTCGATCAATACTTAATAACAGAGCACCAGCAATCGTTAGACAACTCATACAAACCGATTATGACAAATTTCACACAAACTATATTAATAGTGTAGCGTTGAGGCTGACAGAACGTTTGAGGCGTTTGAACTTTGCAGTAGACCTGCGCGGAGGCAGAAAACAGAAGGGGAAATAGTGCGCATTCTACAATATTTTTTGCTAACACATTCTCACTTTGTATAATCATTTTCACGTTAAAAAGTAGTTAAATCACTAGTTAAAACATTTAGTATCGATCCTAGAGAAATAAAACATCTGAAATATCGATATTTCAAGATCCATCCAGTAGTATCCATCCGCCAATTCCCAATGTCCATCGGAATGATGATCGGGTGAAGTTCAAAAAATGCATAGTATCGAAGAACTTATTTGAATTCCAATCTTTGTTTATTTAAAAAACTGATTTCCATTTTAATCGCAATTTTAATTAACGAAGATCAGCTGAACTCTACCTGAACGGGTAAATTATAGTTAGATAAATATCAACGTTAATATTAAATGAACTTGGGCTAATGGTGTCCGCTTCCTAGCATAGATGTATATTGTTTACATTTAAATTTATGTTTGAGTGTGATAGAAGTCAGTACATTTACATTTAGACATTTAGCAGACGCTTTTATCCAAAGCGACTTACAAATGAGGACCATGGAAGCAATCAAAATCAACAGAAGAGCAATGATATGCAAGTGCTATAACAAGTCTCAGTTATCTTAATGCAGTAAGGTTATGTCTGGTTAGTTTTCTCGTTAAAACATTTTTTTTTTCAACTTTCTGACTGAAGCCAACTGTAAATGTAACTGTAACTGCAATTGTAATTAGTAAGTAAACAATGGAAAGCAAACATGTATGGTTCGGTTTGCTATGCTCAAGTTATTCAACCAATCATATTTTAGTTTTCAGGTGAGGAAGAAACCTCTGGTTACTTCTCTAATTTGATCCATGGGACATCTGCATCATGACAGGGGTTCAGCCAATGCCCTGTCCGGTGCTCCTGGGCACTGTGAAAGGTGGAGGTTTATCAGCTCTACTGCACAGATACACAATTGAGAAAAAAGTAGCAAAAGTGGAGAAAGTGCTCAAGAAAGGTTTGCATACATCAGGGGCATATCCAATTTTTTTTTTTTTAATGATTGTACATGTTTCATTATTGCTTTTTATATTACATCTTCCATAGGTGTGGGAGTTGACAGCATGAACCACCTTGGACAGACATCACTCTTTTGTGCGTCTCTCCTTGGCTTTGCTGGTGTAGCAGAGAAACTTCTACAGTATGGAGCGAACCCAAATCAGTAAGGCCAAACCTTCCCATAATCACCCATGGTGCTGGTTTGAATATGATAATAGCATACTATCTCATGTGTGATGTTTATATCCACCAGCCGCTGTAATGATGGAAGTACTCCCGTCCATGCTGCAGTTTTCTCTTGTAATCCCTGGTTGCTGAGTTCACTGCTGGATGCTGGCGGGGACTTGCGTCTCCATGATGATCAGGGCCGGATACCGAAGGACTGGGCCAAGGCAGGCGCTCAGGAGAACAGTCCGAAGGTCTGTGCTGACTGTTTAGATGCTGCTTTGGTTCTGTATGAATAAAATGCAGCACCAGTGTCTTTGTCGTGATGGATGCAGCTTCTGCAGTGAAAAGACACCATTAGACCATTTGTTCTTCCCTATCTACAGATGCTTGCTTTTCTGAAGAGATGCGAGTCTCAAATGCAGAGCTTGTTGCAAACACATCTGTCCAGAGTTGCGCGTACCACCCTGACCTCCTCAAAGACACTGCTATGCAAGTGCTATAACAAGTCTCAGTTATCTTAATGCAGTAAGGTTATGTCTGGTTAGTTTTCTCGTTAAAACATTTTTTTTTTCAACTTTCTGACTGAAGCCAACTGTAAATGTAACTGTAACTGCAATTGTAATTAGTAAGTAAACAATGGAAAGCAAACATGTATGGTTCGGTTTGCTATGCTCAAGTTATTCAACCAATCATATTTTAGTTTTCAGGTGAGGAAGAAACCTCTGGTTACTTCTCTAATTTGATCCATGGGACATCTGCATCATGACAGGGGTTCAGCCAATGCCCTGTCCGGTGCTCCTGGGCACTGTGAAAGGTGGAGGTTTATCAGCTCTACTGCACAGATACACAATTGAGAAAAAAGTAGCAAAAGTGGAGAAAGTGCTCAAGAAAGGTTTGCATACATCAGGGGCATATCCAATTTTTTTTTTTTTAATGATTGTACATGTTTCATTATTGCTTTTTATATTACATCTTCCATAGGTGTGGGAGTTGACAGCATGAACCACCTTGGACAGACATCACTCTTTTGTGCGTCTCTCCTTGGCTTTGCTGGTGTAGCAGAGAAACTTCTACAGTATGGAGCGAACCCAAATCAGTAAGGCCAAACCTTCCCATAATCACCCATGGTGCTGGTTTGAATATGATAATAGCATACTATCTCATGTGTGATGTTTATATCCACCAGCCGCTGTAATGATGGAAGTACTCCCGTCCATGCTGCAGTTTTCTCTTGTAATCCCTGGTTGCTGAGTTCACTGCTGGATGCTGGCGGGGACTTGCGTCTCCATGATGATCAGGGCCGGATACCGAAGGACTGGGCCAAGGCAGGCGCTCAGGAGAACAGTCCGAAGGTCTGTGCTGACTGTTTAGATGCTGCTTTGGTTCTGTATGAATAAAATGCAGCACCAGTGTCTTTGTCGTGATGGATGCAGCTTCTGCAGTGAAAAGACACCATTAGACCATTTGTTCTTCCCTATCTACAGATGCTTGCTTTTCTGAAGAGATGCGAGTCTCAAATGCAGAGCTTGTTGCAAACACATCTGTCCAGAGTTGCGCGTACCACCCTGACCTCCTCAAAGACACTGCTGAGCTCTCCATCCCTGCTCAAGCTCTTGCGACCTTGGTAAGATCTGCAGTACTTCTCTGGCCATTCATCTTTATTAGTGAACATTTCTGGAATAAACTACACAACTTTCAAAACCTTAACAGATTTTAAAACACTAGGCATAAAACTTGACGGCTTTGTAAATGGTTACGGAGAACCAGAATGCAAATCAAGGGAAAAATATGTGTTAACGTTGTATAGTGTACTCCAGCCTTTAGTTTAGCATTTAGAGAAAGAGAAAGAAATACAACACAGTGATTCAAGACTCAGAAAGTAAAAGTGAAAGTAAAAATTCAGATTTTTATTTTGTATGCATGTGTCCTTCTCTTTAGGTCACCTGGGCTCATTCATGAAAATAAAATAAGTCATAAGATCACTGCCTGTGATATGATGATGCAGTGTTTTGGCTTTGGAAAGGTTTGTGTAAACAATTTTTTCTCTCTTGCCAATATTTTTAAAAGATAAAACCTGAACACACATCACATTTTTTAGTGATATACATAAATGTTTTCCTATTTTTGAACAAACATGTTCTAAATTCTAGATTGCGATTATAAAGACTTATAAAATTAACATTCCCCTTCCCATTAGCATAGTAAAGCTTCTAAACAGTATACTTTCCCTTTGACAGCTATTAATCACACTGAGCTGTTGTTAAGATGTTGTTTTGTAATCATTACAGTTATGCTTTGAGAAGCCAGGGTTAAGTTTGGGATTGGCTGCTTCTGTGCCCTTGATAAGTGACGGTGACTTAGTTCAAGCTAATGATGAGCCTCTTAATTCCTTTATGTGTGGATCTTTCATATGTATGACCAAGTAAGACACTGTAATCAAGCAATGACCATTAATTGAATATGCATTGAGGAGAGATTTAAATGGATGTACAGCATTTCCTTACAGGAAACATAATACATTTTTTGTTTAACTGCGACTCAATTACAGTTGGAAAGGATGTCGTGTCACTGTTAAAGAGCTACATGATCAGATTTTGCAACAATGTGAAGAACATGATGGTCTCCTGGATCTGCTCATTTCTGAGCAGGAGTATTGCTGGTAAGAATTGAAAACTCGACAAAAAAAGCTACAAAAGAGTTGTTACAAAACAGTAAACATATGTAAAAGACTATTATTTATAAAACTTTATTTAGGTGATAAAACTTTTCTGTATAATTTTGTAGACAATATGAAACATTATTTGCAGTGCATTCACTTCCGTAATGTTTTGTATTTCTGAGTGAAACTGAATGAAAATTGTGAATTTTATCCAATTGGACTGGATGAAACATGTTGGGCTGTGATATTATTGGTTATTATTATTTTTCCTGGCCTGCACACGTGCAGCTGTTCATTAAAAAAAGTAGTTTTAGAAGCTGATAAAGATATCACTTTGATGAAGGATTATTAAAACTAAATAGTTATTTTTAGATGTATTTATTGTAGAGATATTGAAATCTGTTATTTTAGTATATATATATATACAGTATATATATATTATAATAAGTTTTAGTAATTTTGTTGTTTTTAGTTGTAAGTTTTTTTTAAATGTCTATACAGTTTTATTTATTATTATTTCAGTTTTATTTATTTAGTAAATCAGCTAAAATAAAAATAATAAAAATGTACATGTGTGAATGAGAAATCTGGCCAACTACTGAAATAAAATACTTTTTTTTTTTTTTTAAGTGTTTTTAAAGCTTTTAGATTTAGCTATAGCTTTAGTTACCTATAATATTAACCCTGGTTAGAATTATGCACAATTAAACCAGTTTAGTATGTATATATATACAGTATATATATATTATAATAAGTTTTAGTAATTTTGTTGTTTTTAGTTGTAAGTTTTTTTTAAATGTCTATACAGTTTTATTTATTATTATTTCAGTTTTATTTATTTAGTAAATCAGCTAAAATAAAAATAATAAAAATGTACATGTGTGAATGAGAAATCTGGCCAACTACTGAAATAAAATACTTTTTTTTTTTTTTTAAGTGTTTTTAAAGCTTTTAGATTTAGCTATAGCTTTAGTTACCTATAATATTAACCCTGGTTAGAATTATGCACAATTAAACCAGTGACATTTTTTGACAGATTATTAATTATTAAGACCCATTTTAATTTAATGTTGACTTTTAGTCAAAATGCCCAGAAATGGAATACTTGAATTATGAAATACTTCACCCCAAAATGAAAATTTTGTCATAATTTACTCAAGTAATTCAAAACCTGTACATACACTGTGCAGTAGCCATGGTTACTATTATGTCCTGTGCAGTCAGCTGTCTCACCCGCACCTGCTGCTGCTGATGGCTGTGAGTATCTCCGCTGACCTGGACAGCACAAAGCTGGTCTATGAGAGAGTAAATGTGGGATCCCTGTACAATCTGCTGCACCAGAGGGTAATGTTTGAAAATTTCAAAAAGATTTATAAATGACTGAGAAGTGGTTTTATTTTAAACTTGTTCATTGTTTATTTCCACACTCTGCAGCAGGATGAGTTTCCTTTCCTACCGCTGTTTGACCTATTATCAGTGGTGCTACAGGTATGTGAGGTGTTAATGTACCTGCATGGCCAATCTCTGGTGCTCAGGGCTCTTTCCTCACACACTGTACTTATAGTGCACCCTGGAGTTGCCAAGGTTACAGGCCTTGGGTTCATTGTACCCAGGTACAACATCCTTGCAAAAGGCACATATTAATATATATATATTTAAAATTACTTCAATTTAGGAAATGTCTAAATTAAATGGCTTATATTCATAATGTGATTTTTGTGTTTGACATGCCTTTACCCTCTATTCCAACTACAGTGAGGGAACGACCCCCTACACCCCACCTCCTGTTCCTTTGCCTCTCAGCCTGATCAACTGGGCAGCTCCAGAAGTGATTAGATGTAGAGCATGTACAGGAAAAGCTGATCTCTATAGTGTGTGCGCCCTTTTACAGGAGATCTTTACAGGTACCTTCATGCATGTGATGTAAACTGTAAAGCTTATGTAATAGATCTTGTTTTGTGTTACTAGTTTGTGACTTGTAAAGCAGTTATATTGCTTTGTGCAGATGCTGTGCCATGGGGCTCCACAGACTCACGCTGGATAAAACGGTCAGTAGAGGCCGGTCAGGCTCTGATAGCAAACCCTGCTGTGCCTGAGCCTTATTACCACTTCCTGCAGACGGGCCTCCAGCACAGAGCCCAGCACAGGACCAGCAGCCTGCATGATTTGTGCTACAATCTACGCTGTCATATAAGGGTTTGCACACTGGTTTAATTCTGTTACTGTATCTCATCAGTATGTATCAGTGCACATGTAACAGGTTCTATTTTCTGGATGTTCACTACTGTTCAAAAGTTGGTGGGTGATATGATAGAAAAACGTAAAATTAGTAAGTAAAATTATTAAAGCTGCAGTCCGTAACTTTTTTTGGTTAAAAATGATCTGAAATCAATATTCGAGCAAGTACATAACCAGCCAGTGTTCGAAACTATCGCCTTACTTTAGCCCGATTCACAACGGTCAGCTTATAATAAAGTTTTTTTTCGTGTTACGGGTAGGTTTTCGCGGGAAATTCGAGCATCCCGCTGCGTCATTACGTCACTTCTGTAAACATAAAGAAGTTGCCCCGGCTACTAGGCTATTGCATGTGAGGATCCTGCAGATGGCCGATCGTTTATAGCCTTTTCTCACAGCAGCTGGAATAATTAAATGTATAATTTTGATGGCTGATTGTAATCTAGAAAGGATTATGTGTTTATGAAACACATGTGAATGAAATTAAATTATATTCCAGTTTTAAATGTGCTTCTGATTACAGATAGCCTGGGATTACACAAGATTTGTATTTTAAAGACAACCAGTTCGAAGGGAGCATAATTTGCTTTTTGGGTTAAAAGAATTTCT